CTTCCTCTATGGAGGAGAATGTTGATTTCATGAGTGATAATGAAGAATCAATTGCTTATACAGTGGAAATTACATTATGTTCCTATCAATCAGGGGTTAACTCTCTGCAATATCTCACTGCCAACATATATTCTGATATAAGCTTTGCTGCTGACTTTCTAGAGAGATTCAGCTCTCATTCTACCTCAAAGAATTGAGCAGCATTCAAGCAAATTCTTAGATATCTACAAGACATGCCTGACATAGGTGTGTCCTACTGAAAAGATGCAGATATAGAATCTGTGATGTTTGCTGATGCTGATTGAGCAGACTGTGATCTGAGTTCTCACTCCACCACTGAATATATCATTTATATGACAGGGGGTCCTGTTGCTTGGCAAAGCAGCAAGTAGACAGGCATTTCAAAATCATCTACTGAGACTGAATATATCACATTCTCAAAGACTGCCTATGAGCTTGTCTGCCTCTGGGAATTGCTGGAGAATGCTAGCTTTGTGCTGTCTCAGCTCAATAATCTTGATGATAATGATGGCCTGATTGAATCACCAGTCAATAAGCTGGCATATATGATTTAGGCAGATAATAAATCAGTGATTGAACTGATCAAAAGTGAGACTATTTCATGCTGTTCTAAGCATATAGAGATCTACTTCCATACTCTTTGAGATCTTATCTGCAAGAATAAGATCTTGATTGATTATGTCCTGTCTGCTGAGAATGCAGCAGACAGGCTGATCAAGCTGCTTGAGGTGACTAGATACACCCTATGACAGCAGATATTAGAAGATGTGGTAAGCAGATGGAAATGATTATATGAAGGAAATGACTGATTTTTCAACAATATGGGTTTTCCAGTCAAATTATGCACTGATACCTAGCTACAGGCTATTTTTTGTATGTAATCTCGCGTACAGTTACATCAGTGAGTGGGGGTGTCAGGCCTATCTGCCTTCTTATGTAATCTGCACTGTATATAACTTCCGCGTAGCTAGTGATCGCCTCATAATCAATCAAGCAATCTATCCTTGACAGATGCACGTCTGTGATTACTTGTATATAACTTAAACTCTATCTTATGAAAATAAAGAAATTAAATAGTCAACTAAATTATATTAACTATTTGAAAAAAATTAAACTTTTATATATTGTAGAGATATAATATAGTTTCATTAAAAAAAACTATATTGCAAGTATACTACTTTATATAAATAATAAAATTAAGAAAATATTAAATTTATATAAAATAATTTGATTAATAGTATATAAATTATTAAATTAAAAGAGTAAAAATTTAATATTTATTTAAAATATTTTAGAATAAATATATTAATATATAATATTTAAAAATAATAACTTTTAATAAATACTTTTTTAAGAAACTAATAATTAATATATTTATTATTTTTTTTATAAATAAAAATTAATTTTAAATTTATAATTAAAATTTATATTTAATATAAAAGATATTAAAAATAAAAATATTTTATAATTTATAGAAAATATATTAAAAAATTATAATATAAAGTATTATACTGATTTTAACTATAATATTTAAAATAAATTATATTTTTATATTATAATTAAGTATAAAAATTATAATTAAATTATATACTTTTAACTTTAATTTAATTTTTCTATTCTAATAATAAAAATATAAAATTATAAAAAAAATTTAAAAAATAGACTAGTTTTCAATTAAAAAAAATTATATTTTATATAAAAATAAAATTTAAAATTTAAAATAAATAATTAATTAAATAAAAAATTAAAAATCAGAGTAAATTAATCTTTTAAAATATATTAAATTTAATTTATATTTTAAATAGTTATATTATAATATAGAAACTATAAATTATTTTATTTTTTTAATAAAATTTAATAATTAATTACTTTTTAATTTTATATTTATTTTTTTATTTATTATTATATATTTTACTTATTAATATTTTAAATATTTATTTTTTTTTATTTTTTTTATAATATTAATTATAATACTTTTTATATTTTTTTTTAATACTTAATTTATTTATATTAAATATTTTAATAAAAAAATAAAGTTTTAATTATAAAAAAATTTATATAAAAATAATAAAACTTTTATAATAAAAAATTATATATTAATAATAAAATATATTTATTTTAATAATAAAAGTATAATTTTAATAATATAAAATATAAAAGTAAAGTTTCAATAATTAATAAATTATATAAAGAAAATAAAAATATTATTTTAATAATATAAAATTTAATATAAATATAAAGTTTAAATAGTAAAAAGAGTTAAAATACTCTTTATAAATAAGTTTTTTTTTTTAAATCTATAGTTTATAAAAATTAAACTTAATAATTTTAAATTATATATTTTTAATTTTTTAAAAATAATTTTTTTACTATTTTTTATATTAATTTAAATATAAATAATATGAAAAATATATCTGATAAAATTAAAAAAAAATTAAAATTAATAAAGTTTTCATAAAAAATAAAATATAAAATTTTTAGATAATTATTAAGAACTTTTTTTAAAACTTAGATTTCTTTATATTTAATTTTCATATTATATAGATTAAATATTGTAAATTGATGATAAAAATTACTATAATTTTCAACTTTTTTAGAAAAAAAATATTTTTATCAACTATATATTTAATTTTTATCTAAATATTATAAAAATAAATATTTTAATATATTTTATAATAGCTTTTAATTGATAGTATTTATGATTTAAATTTCAAAAAATTGATTAAGTTTTAATATAAGTGTTGTTGATAGATTATATTCTATCAAAGAATTTTCTTAAAAAAGAACTTTTTCTGAAAAATTTAAATCTTATATATAAGTGTTACAGAGATATAGTAATTATGTTCAACACTTAGACAACAATATATAATTTTAGTAGCGTAGTCGGCTCGAGCGATAGATTATATTATATAAAATTCTATATTTTAATTAATGTAACTCATTATTAAATAAACTATATTATAAAATAAGTCAAATTTTTACTATCAAATTCCTCTAATATTCAGTATTAAAAATAAGATATTATAATCAATAATAAAGTAATTAAACTTGTAATTGAAGATTTTAAATTTTAAGAGATTTTAAATTATAATATAATTATAAAGAAATATTCTATTAATCAAAAAACTCTGCACTAATAATATAAAAGTCTACAAATTAATTATAATAAAGCAGTCTTTTAATATAAGAAGAAGCTCTTCAATATATAAGAAGAAAAGCTTCTAAACTTCATAAATACAGTCTATGACTATGAGTTTACTCTTACATCTTAAATTCTGTAAAATATTGTACATGAGATGATAATAGATAAAGTGAAAATCAACTGAATAAATCAATTTTATAAGTAATATAATGATAAAATTAAATACATTTATCTTAGAGTAATTAATTAAAATAAATAAAAAGTAAATAATTATAACTACTTTAAGTACTTATATATATTTATAGTTTGATAATTTTTTGATTTATTACAAGTACAGATATTGAATTTGACTAACTTTTTAAGTAGTTGAAGTAAAAATCAATTAATATAATATTAAATTATAAAATATCTATAACTTTGATAAAAAAGAATTTCTTTTAAATATTTATTATATCATAGAGTTAATAGCTTTTATAGACACTTTATGAGCTGAAAAAAATATTATTAATTAGAATAATAGCTGAGAATTTATCTTTTTACTTTGTTCAATATCTGTTGAAGAAATTTTAATTTCTTCTACTTTTATTTATTTAAAATAAATTAAAAGATTTTCAGAATACAAGACTTGATGATTATAATAAAAGTGAAGAGATTTATTTTGCAGCTTTAATAAACAATTGAAATAATGATAAATATAAACTAAAGTAATTAAAACAGATTTTTAACTCTTATTTAAAAGCATAAACTGATCATAAAAAATATCTGCTTCTATTAAATGAGTATTTATTCTATATAAATATAAAATTTATTAAATTTATTAATAGTAAAAAAATTCTACTTTTAGTTCTCTCATCATATTCAACTCATTATTTACAGCCTTTTGATGTTGAAATCTTTAACTCACTATGCAAGATATATTGAGCTGTTGAATGTACTATTAAATAATAGTAGTTAAAGTTTCAATTGTAGACTTCAAAATGCTATCAGAAGAACTTCTCTACTAAAGAACTTCATCATGCAAAGACTATGCAATCTTTCAAAACTGGAAATAAGAGGGCTACAAGCTTTGCTAACAAGATTATACACTCTTTAGATAAGAAACTTCTGTTTATATTTCTTTGAATTCTCTTATATATATTTTTTAAAATCTGTTGCTCTGCTGCAATATTAAACTATTCATTTATTTATTTTCTTAACTACACTAATTTCTATGCTTCAAAGAACTCAGTTATTTAACAGTTAATAGTTAATTTAATAATTAAAATCTGGTTGTTGAGATATTTAAATAAATTCATTATATCAAGTGGTCGTAGATATCTGGCTCATTTAATGGTGTAGCTCATATAGTGGTGAGCTACATTAACTAACTGATGGCAATTTGTTTGCAAAATTTGTATTCTTTGCATTGTTTGCATCTCTTATTCACAGTCCCCATTAGGACTAGCTTTGTTTACAGTCCTCAAACCTCTTTCATATTTTCAGGAAGGGACAATCAACAAACACTCTAATAGTTGTTTATCTACTGTGAATGCACGACTGCTCCTCCCCAGAGCTGCAGATGACAGAAGGTGTTATTACCTAATGAAATATTGGCCGTGTTGACATCCAACAAACAAAACCTCATCTTCATCATTTACATCATCCCCTCTACTGTAGTTGCTGGCTGGACATTCTCCTTGCACGACAAACCCCACCTACCTTCATGGCTTGTCGCTGAATTTCATCCCGTTTCATGGATCTTCAAGAATATTATTAAAATATCAAGCATTGTCTACTTGTCCATCCATCAGTTTCTCCTTTTCTTCTTTTTGCTCGCCTCTCTTTTGGGTGCTTAAGGATGGACGGCGACGAGAATATCCCAAGGGTGCGCTATCTTCTCAATTAGTAGCTCCAAAACGATTCCTCATTCTAATCCTCCTCATGCTCTGTAACTGATATTTTTTAATCTCTCTATAGTTCTCGTCAAATATTCCTCGTCCAAACGTGGTCTCCTCAGCCGGGAGAAGTCTCCATGATATCACATCCACCGCAAACAATGCCGCTGGCACCATGATGCCTCCGCCGGGCACTATCAGTCGCAAATACGTCAAATCCATGAGTAGGTCCTAGTTTCCAGGTTCTAGCATGAACTAAAACACATTGCCAATTAAATTATTTGACAGCTGGAAATTTCTAAGCACCTTGGTACTCATCTATTAGCAGCTATGGAATCAGTTCAGAACAGAAAAACACTCGCCGAAAGGGGTGGTGAAATCAGAAAGCCAAATCAATTTGGCCATTCAGCCTCCAAATCCTTGAATTCTAGGCCCATTTATCCGTTGTTGCCGTCTTCGACCTCGAGCTCCTCTCGCCCTGCTTCGGCCGCTCCACGAAATACATCCCACAACCTTAACTCCGCCTCCAATAGCACTACTTCCCGGGCACGCTCTTCTGCCCGAAGTATCGCTCGACCCCAGACGTCCTTTGGTTATGGGCGCACTCATGGCTCCGCCTCCCCTCGCCCAGTAACGTCAATGAGCACTCGAAATGACGATTTCCATGACTCGATCTTGGGGAAACGAAAGGGTATGGACACAATTTCCTTGGAATGCTCCTCACCCGAATCCTTACCCTTCCCTTCATTGAAAACTGGCCCAACTCCAAGAAGAGGCAGCTATGACAACCAAATGAATTATGTTTCAGATTGGTCGAGCTCCTTTGCTGCACAATCAGTGTCCCACTTAGCAGTGCGGGAGACTTTGCGGAACGTGTCCTTGACCACCGCAATGCAGGGCTTGACCCTCAATACTTCCCCGCCAACCCTTACCCTACCACACGGACATGATGCCCAGGAAACCACCAGGCCCAAACGATCCTCTTCTGTTAAAACAACCCATGGCATCACTCCCCTTTCCCAGAACATTCCCACATCTCTTAAAAAATCCCCCAGGAAATCCCCTCCTAAAGTAAAACAGTATCTAACTCGTGACTCTTCAGTCGAAGCTTGGGACCAAGACGCCAAATTACAGAATATGAATGCTATGTGCGATATGCTATTGAGCCGCTTTCATGGAACAACCAACCAAAGCGCCGGTCTTAAAGAAGCCATAGAGCTGTATAAAACCCGACGTATGTACGAAGTTCTGGTCCCCGCAGAGTGAAATTCGATATTTCTAACGTAAATCTCGGTCCGCTCTAGTCCAGGAGGTGGAAGATAAAAACTCACAGCTTTCTGAGCAAAACATTTCCATCCGCGTTGAACTTGACACCACTAAATCCCGTCTCTCTGTGGCAGAGAATAATCTTAAAGATGTCGCGCGGGATCACGAAATTTCCATGGATGACTTGGACAGGCAGCACCGCGTTCAATTAGAAACTGCACGCCAAGAAGCGAAAAAACAGCTCGAGGACCTTGTGGCGAAGCATCAAGACGAGATGCGAGAATTACATCGCCGGTGCGACGCCCAAATTGAAGATGAGAGGATCAGGCGACAAAAGGAACTCAGCCAAATGAATGCGCAAACTGCTGTCGAAATACAACGTACTCGAAATGAGTCTGAAAATAAAGACCGCGAGCTTCGGAGCGTAAAAGCCGAGGTGGATCGTTTGACAAGTGACTTGGAACGTGAACGGACACTTAATAAGGAACTTCAACAAAACCTGATGACCAATAGTAGTAATACTTTGACCCTAGAGTCTTCGATTCGTGCACTGAAGGCTAGGATTGAGTTCCTCGAGTCGGGTAACAAGGAGCAGTCCGATGCATTTGCTCGTCTTGATCAGGAACTCCGAGATGCCCTGGCGGAGACTAGCGTCGCCCAGGCAAAGCTACGCAAAGAGGAATCGTTGCGAAGAAAGCTTCACAATCAGGTACAGGAGCTGAAGGGAAACATTCGTGTTTTCTGTCGCGTTCGTCCGATACTCGACAATGAGTCAGATGCAGATGCGGCACAAATCGAATTTCCCGATTCAGAAGCCGACTCGAAGGAGATTTCGGTGCTTGGTCCAGAGGAAAAGAGTAGCCTTGGGAACATTACAACAAAAAATTACTTTTACTCTTTTGATCACGTTTTTGGACCATCATCTCAAAACACTGACGTTTTCGAAGAGATCAGCCAACTGGTTCAAAGTGCGTTGGATGGATACAACGTATGTATATTCTGCTATGGTCAAACGGGAAGCGGGAAGACCCACACAATGTCTTCTGATGACGGAATGATACCTCGGGCTGTTCATCAAATATACGATACAGCAAGGTCGCTGGAAGAGAAGGGCTGGCACTATGCAATGGAGGGGAATTTTGTCGAGGTTTACAACGAAAACTTGAACGATCTGCTTGGCAAAGCAGACGAATTCGATAAGAAGAAGCACGAAATACGCCATGACATGCAAAAGTGCAAAACAACAATCACGGATATTACAACTGTTAACCTGGACTCCCCCGCACGCGTTGCATCCATTCTACGTCGTGCTGCAACCAATCGCTCAGTTGCTGCAACCAAAGCAAACGAGCGATCTTCACGATCACATTCTGTTTTTATCCTAAAACTAATTGGAGAAAATAAGGTCACGGGAGAAAGGAGTGAAGGAACTCTTAATCTTGTTGATCTTGCTGGCAGTGAACGCCTCAGCCATTCGAAAGCCACAGGAGAGAGATTGAAGGAAACTCAAAGTATTAACCGCAGTCTGAGTTGCTTGGGTGATGTAATTGCCGCCCTTGGGCAAGGGAAAGACGGCGCACATATTCCGTACCGAAATAGCAAGGTACGTTTCCGAGCGTTTTGCCAATTCTCAAACATGGGCACTTGAGCTAATCTTCTGTCATTTAGCTCACATACCTCCTTCAATTTTCTTTGGGAGGCAACTCTAAGACGTTAATGTTCGTCATGGTCAGTCCTAGGCATGAGCATCTCAGCGAAACCCTTACCAGTCTAAAGTTCGCGACCAAAGTCCACAACACTCACATTGGGACCGCGAAGAAACAGACGAGAATTATTCGCGAATCGTAATGGTTCCTCAATATTCCTGAGATTTATTTGTGTATTTTTTCCCTCATCGCTAGTTGTTGGTTTGTATGGCATACCCGGAAGCTTTTGAATGATTTGGCTTGCTGAGATTTTTCTTGAGTTATATTCAAGTTTGGAGTTCCGGTTTCCATTTTCTGTTTAACTTTCCCCATCCACCGAACTTATATCATATACAGAGCTATGTACATCTGAATGATGTACAGTAGGCTCTTTTTGCTTTGAATTGATCGGCGCGGATATATTTCGTCGAATTGAAGAAACCACGGCATGGTTCTCATAGTCAACGAATGAAATATACGTGCGATATGCTTCCAGCATTCCCGAATATGCCACCGATATATCTATTTGTTTATGTGACAGTGTGAATTCCCACTTCTTCCTTACTCACTGCCTTCTCATCAGTAAAGAAAGGTCACCCAGTTATACTCTGGGCATGTGGCGTAGCGGGTAAACCTCAGGTCGGACTGATCGTTGGGACAGCCAGACACTAATGGAACCATCATTCATTCCGCTTCCCAGCATGCCGCAAGAAATTTCTTTAATACCGTAAACATTGCATCCGGTTTCTCCAGCCAAGTGAAGGGATCACATTGATCCAATATAACAACGGTTGCGTGATTCTGACCGAGATTCCTCGTCTGCTCTGTATTTCCTAAAGTGCATTGACAATTTTGTCCGCCAAATATAATCAAAGTCTTCGCCGTGACAGCTTTTATCCCGTCAACCATCAGTTTACGCAGCGTGACTTTCCGATTGCATACCCTCATGCTCTCCAGACACCACAGTGAAACTTGATCATCACCCAGCGCGTCAAGATATTTGGGAACATCAATTTCAGGATCGAAGAAATATATGGGAATAATTTTTGTTAGAATTCTTTCAGTTCGTCATCCTTACTTGGATGAGACGTCTATAGCGTATCATACGCCGCCTCAAACCTAGTATCGCCCCTTTCTCTCCTCTCGCAAGCATGCAAAGGTCGCCGAAGCGTCACAACTAAGAAGCCGGTGATCGATGAGCATCAGCCTGGCAATATTGCTGTGGGTGCATTTCGAGTATGCCAGCGCGATATTGGCACCATGCGAGTGGCCCAGCAGTGCTGGAAAGCGGTCAATATTTAAATATTGTCGAAACAACTTGAGGTCCACGGCCATGTTGAAGGTGGTTATTTCAGAGGGATCTGTAGGTCGTGAAGAACCTGCTGATCCCCGTAGATGAAAGAAGACAAGAGTGCTGTCGACTTCTAGAGGGTGATGGCTGACTGGAATACCGCGGTCCTAATCCCCAGCCTGGATACTGTATGACGGCCATTCGATCATGACTAGTTGGTGCATTGCTCTGGACGGTGTGTTTGAATGTTAGGCCATTAGGAGCTGAAGATGTGAGTGCCTAGTGATAGCTGGTCCATGTTTTAGAATATATGTATGTGTCCATTGAGATTTGAGAGGGACTTCTAGTGTTGAAACCGAAGAGAAAAAAGAATGTCGACATTAACTATTTGATATAAATAGAAGATTAATGTAGGCAACTCGTGATTACGATTTCTTCCCATCTGAATAAATGCTGCTAAAGCCATATGAACCTGTGTAGACACATACGCCTCTCTATGCGAGGGTTGCATTTGTTCGTTAAGGGGATGGAATAAGATCAGAATTGCCACTGCTTGAATGTTCCCGCAAAGGTCCAAGATTTGACATTTCCCACGTTTTATTTAACTAACTATTTATCGTTGGGCAGTCGATGACGTGGTTCCAATGTTGTTATCGCAGGGTGGCTAGAATGATTATGACAGTGGAGTTATTAGATAGAGACCTACGAGATTTTAATTCCTTCTATATATTTTCCCCAGGAACTCATAATGCCTGCATATACAGGATCAGAACCTCCCCGAGTGTCACGCTCACTTTCTGTTCGGCTCCCTTCCTTTGCAGAACTCGACGCCGCATCCCAAACATATGAAAGTGATCTGCCAAATTCCACAGAATGGAACCGCAACCACGCAGATGCTCTCCCAACGATGGGTCGTCCTTCGGAGGGACATGGATGGCGTGATTATCGCCGTCGTGGCTTAATACCAATAATAGCCGTACAATTGGAGTTCGATACCGCAGCGTTCGATGTACGTATCTGGTCAGATGTCAAAGGCTAATCGGACGATGGTTACAGTTCCGGGATATGTTGATGGCCTGTATTTTTGCTTTGGTCCCATCGCGTGAGGCCCATTTCTACGGATCTCCCTAGCTTCCATGTCCATGGTGATTGTATCTGAAGATGTCTGGCGCAGGGCCGGACTTGTTTGATTTTCTGTTGTAGTTCAATAATTGATGGAAGTTAGTCGAATTTTGTAAACATCACTAGCCATACATCAACGGGAAACGTGGAGGTGCAAAAAAAGTATTTGATCTCAGTATTATATCACAGCTTCAATCTATATACAGATAATCAGAGGTTTGATTGTCAACTAAATAAGCTATCTGAGTGAATACTAAGATGATTTCTAAAAGATGAGTTTGAAGAAAACTCTGTTTATATAGTTCGTTTTCTTAGTGCAGTTGCTAGACAATTGTGTTATGTTTATGTGTTATTTGTATATGAGATAATTGTGAGACTGACTGCTATGTCATTGTCTAGACAATTGCCATTACCAGTCATCTCAGTCAGTAATGATTACACTGTCAAAAAGATTAAATGTAAGCTCATTTTATATCATCATATCTTTTATCTTTATATCAGAATAAAAAAAAATTCTTATGTTCTTAATTAAGACCTCAAAATTTATTTCTCTCAGCATATGGAGAAAACTATAATCAGATACCAGAGTCTAGCTCAGCAGATAAAGAAGAAATTGAATGTGATGACATAGAATAAGTGAACTCTGTTTAGTTCTTTGACAGTATAAGACTACAAATTGAGATAATCAGTAATCACAACTGTCTAGACATTGATATAGCAATCAACTCTACAATTATTTTACATACAAATAACATGTAAATGTGAAAAACAGCATTAAGAAAAAGAACTATATAAACAGAGCTTTCTCTGAACTCATCTCTTAAAAATTATCTTAGTATTTCATCTAGATCACTTATCTAGCTGATAATCAAACAACTGTTTCACCTGTGTCTAGTTTAAAAGCTTGACATAATATTAAAATCAATAACTTTTTTTACTCTTTTTAAAGCAGGTTTTTTTATATGAAAAATCTCTGAAAATTCTTGTTTATTTTTGTTTTGAATCTTTGAGAATACTGCTAAGATATCAGCAGCAGTTAGAGAATCTGATAGTTTGTAAAGATTGAACTGAGATATGATGACTCTGACAGAGAGAAACATGAGATCAAGAGAGCTCTTATCAAAGAAAACATTTTTAAAGACAATTGAAGAGGACTCAGAGCGTTCATAGGCGCCGTTTCTCCGAGCCTGCTCAATACGCCCTCATCTGATCCCTGAAACTGTCCCTAACTGGTCAGCCTACGAGTCCGTGAAACAGTATATTCTTCAACCATAATAAATCACACTCCGCAAATCGACTGGAAATTCGCGTCTCATCAGAAACTCTATCGCTATCCAGAAACCCGCCTGACTTTCAACAGGGGATTAAAACATCCGCCGCGATGCCGAATGGCAACAGTGACTTGCGAAGACCTACTGATTCTGTAGTGTAACCACAAAGCGTGTTTCCGATCATCCCAGCCATGCTCCGGGATATTGTAACTTTATCCCTAAATTCATCAGGCAAATATTTGATATAACTAATAAACACATCAATTGCCTCTCCCAGAGTTAATTGGCATAGGTACCTTGCCATGTGCTTGTCAACTCAACAACATCTGGGAATTCTTCAGGAGCCGATACTAGTGGTTCAGATAGAGTTGGTCTGCATGTTGGGCATATTTCTATGTATTGCAATATTAATTCCTCAGGGATTCTGTTAATTCTGCAGTCAGTTTATTTGATTTTTCCAAAGGCAATTTTGGCCTGTAGCCGTATTGAGCGTACCCGGGAATATATCGTTCTAGCATGATCTTAAGGATAAAATCTCCATCCTCTTTTAACATCTCTTTCGTCTAGATTCGCGTGAATGAAAGGCATCTGCTTTTCTGGTGGCAGAGACTGATAAATAAGATATTCGAAGTCTCCATGCCTGCAATTTCGTGGTAGGAAAGGGAAAAGGCCCAAAGAATTTGACACTGGCATAAAGCTCATAGTCATCGTGGCGAAAAGGAATATCTGGTTTGAAGATGAAAAATTATCACTATATATCAAAGAATGAATGCGTTAGTTTGATCCATATCGTAAAAGATGTCCAATATTCTGCCCACATAGCACTGAAAGACCATATATTGGATGGTGTGCCCCATCCTATCTTCATATAGATTTCAGGTGCTTCTCCGTATAGGTGCTCTGTTCAAATCACCGTCCTTCGCATATACTAAATCAGCTGACAGAGCGCTCCCCTATCCGCCAGCTAAAAATTAGTAAAGAGGATTTCTTCCTCCCTGTAGATATTAATGAGGACGCTGTCAGGCTTACATCTAATGGAATCAAAAATTAGCCACTATGCACTTTCACATGTGTGAAGAGGAAGAGTGTGAAGGTGAAATACCTGTATGTATGAATCGGCCGGCATGCAATAATTTCAGTGCCTTGAGAGTCCTTCTGGAACCGTATTTGACTTCATGCGTCGTTAGTTTCTCTGATGAGGAGGCCTTTAAGAGGTGATCATCCAAGTGCAGCGTAAGCTGTGTAAAACACAAGCTGGAGGATCTGATGGATTGATAATCTCTTTAAGCAGTGGTCGGATAAACGGGGTGCAACTTTCGATGTGATGGAGGTCATCGCGTTTCATTTTTCAGTTGGAAATTTCGCAGTCCTTTGATGATTGCTGGTTGTTTGTTTTGGCATCTGTGTCAATCAGAAACTTCGCCGTTTAGAATCTGGGAAAAATACATTAACTAATATGTTGCAAGCTACACGCTCTTCTGGAGTTCCATGGTGATGGTGTAGCAGCTTGGTTTCCCTTTAGAAAATTCGCCTGAGGCGGAACAAACCAGCGATGTTGCCTCTCGAGGATAAATGCTTCGAGGATGGATGAATGCTAGGCGTTTGATGGGAACATGATTCAGGTTTCAATGGGTGAAATGCCATGCTCGCGACTGCTGGACTGAGACCTATCAATCAATTGCCATATAGTTATCGCATCTTGATGAAAATCCTGGCTCAATTAATGATTGTGCACAGGGAGTTAAGCAAACCACCAGCTTTTAACTAGCCAATGGGGTCACCCTTTACTTTGTTTTTGAGACTTCTCTCAGGGTTTCACTTAACACTCATCTTTCTCCATTGTGACATGCCAAGTGATGAATAACTCATTTTCAGCAGAGAAACTTGTGTTTATATCAGTTGACTTTATTAGTGATGTTAATAATATCTATATCTCCAGCTCAGCTAACAGCTACTCCTGTTTGACTGATGCCGAGTTGACTGGTCAGTTAATTTCTAGGTGACAGCAGAATCTTATTTGTTTGAAATATTTGGGAATTCGATCCAGTGTCAATATGCCCAATATATTTAAGCAGCAGTTGACCAATACGCCTCGCGAGGTATTTAACTGGAAACTAGGTCTGGGGATTTTATGCTTCGGCATTATGGGAGCTAGTCGAGGTGAGTTTACCATAATACATTTAGCGCTGTGTTGATGCTGTCGATGAGTGTTTTTCCCTATGGCTAATTGTACTTTCCCGCAGGGGTCGACGAAGGGCTTATTTCAGGGACGGTGCAGCAAAAATCGTTTATCGCTGAATATCACTTGAAAGATCCCAACATGAGTGAGGAAGGGAGGGCGGATAGATTGGGAAACATAACTGGCATGGTCCAGATCGGTAGTATTGTGGGTGCACTACTGTAGGGTTCTATGTATATCCCTTTGAAGTAGAATACAAGTCTGATTCATGTAGCGCATTCGTCGTGACGGACCGTATCGGACGCATCCAGGCAACGCGACAGCTCTGTGCAATTTGGGTCATTGGTATCGTGATATTCATGACAGCAAATGGTCGGATTGGGCAAGTGTACGCTGGCCGGTTCATTGCTGGCATTGGGGTGAGAACATTAAATTTCACCCCTATCACTGAGGCTGCACATCGTTAAGTTCGAGTCTTCCAGGTTGGACAAACTACAGTGGTTGCTCCCACGTATTTAGCGGAGGTTTCCCCTCGAGCAATTCGCGGCCTTTGCATGTGCTCATTTTCCGGCTCGGTGTATCTTGGTATCATGCTGAGCTATTTTGCAAGCTGGGGTAGTTCGATCCATATTAGTGACGGCTCTAATACACAATGGGTATGAGTTTATTTCATACTTTGCTAAGCCCTCATTCTTTCCCCCCATAGTGTAAGGAGTGTTCTCACCATGGTTTTCATTTCATCCGTTGACCAAAAAAAAAAAAAAAAAAAAAAAAAAACCAACAACCAGATTGTGCCGACAACACTACACATCATCTTCGCTGGAATCATTTTTGTACTCTCGTTCACGGTTCATGAATCGCCTAGATATTTAATCAAGGCCAAGAAACAAGAGGAGGCTCTGAAAACCATGTCAATATTGCGCAATCTCCCAATTGAACATCCATACATTCAGACAGAGATGATGGATATCCAGGAGCAGTTAGACCGGGAACACGAAGCAACCTTGGGGTCACACTTCCTTGCACCACTTAAAGAGTTGTTTCTATTACCCTCTAACCGGTATCGTATCATGATCGGGTTGATGTCGCAGCTGCTCAGTCAATGGTCGGGAGCAAACAGCATAACCATCTACGCGCCCGAATTTTTTGCCATGTTGGGGACGACAGGTCAATCGGAGAAACTTTTTGCCACGGCAATTTTTGGTGTCGTGAAACTGGTGTCTTCTCTTATCTGTGCTCTCTTTCTGGTTGACTTATTGGGACGCAAAAGGGCTCTTGGATATGGAATATCATTCCAATTTCTGAGCATGCTATACGTGGCAATTTACCTAGCAGTCGTTCCATCGATAGAAGGCGGGTTCAAGCCGGAAGGGCATTTAAAGCGCGCTGGCACAGCAGCAATTGTGTGCATATATGTATCTGGAGTGGGCTGGGCTCTTGGCTGGAATAGCATCCAGGTTTGGCGCCATGGTCAGGTCACCATCTCATTTGAGTTGATACCTCTAACAACCACGTCATCCTGCAGTATCTCATCAACGCGGAAATATTCCCGCTTCGAG